CCATGTAGACTGTGCCTCACCTGTGCTGAATTTAAAGGGAATGAGGCGAGTCGCTTTGATTAGCCGGGAACCAAGTCGGTTGTGTTCACTCCCACAACTGTACAAACGCCTATTTTTCCCTGCACCCATCAATGAAAATGCCAAAAGAAAGAAAACATCACCCATGTGCACAGTTAGTTTGCACTTTGCGCAAGACTTGCGCTGAGAATGAAAATAGGGCTTTCAAAGCAAAAATACGAGCACTGCATCGTCACAGTGAACTCAACTCACTTCACAACAAGTAGCAGTTGGTCACATATTGAAAAAGTCTTCAAAAAAGAGGCTTCAAGCTAATATTAAACTACAAAAAATTATTAACCCTGATTTTGTAGACCAGGGGTGTCAAACTAATTTTTTGTCGTGGGCCACTTCGGAGTTACGGCTTTCCTTGGAGGGCTGATGTAAAAACGCAACATTATTTATTACCGATGACAGTTTGACATTTCGGTACAGATTTCAGCAAGGATCATGAAAGTTGACACACATGGTTTGCTCCCACGGGCCACATAAAATGATGCAGCGGGCCAGATCTGGCCCCCGGGCCTTGACTTTGACATCTGTGTTGTAGACAGTGCAGGTTCCCTCGGCATAAAAACTGCCGCATGCTAATTTTCGTGCCAAGGCAAGTCAAGTGAAGCATTTTTTTTGAATTTGGAAGACTACGTTATGCCATTACACATCCCCGGCACACCTCACAATTTGGTGACAGAGAGTAGACTGGTCTTAAGACCAGGTTCCCTTACCCCACAAAACTATAGTGCAAACTTCAGTCTTACCATGCGCATAGGTGGCTTTCTTTCTTTTGGTATTTTGGTGGCCTTTAGAAGTGGAGATAGGACACTGCGTAAGCATGCCCGAAACCAATTGACAAAGAAAATTAACATCGCAAAGAGATGCAATGCAGAGAGGCTGAAAAAACACTTCTGCTCATGACTCTGCATCCGTGTGGAATGACCTGAAAGCAGTTACAAACTACAAAATACCATCCCCCGCAAGCAGTGGACAATAAGGGACTGGCTCACGATCTAAACATGTTTTTCTGCAGCTTCGAAAAGGACCCCTCCACTTCCCACACCTGCCCGCCCCCATCAGAAACTACCTTATTCACACCCCAGACCGAATTCCCTGCCCTGGAGATCCACGAACAGGACGTCAGACAACTCTTCAAGCAGCAGAAGATCAAGAAGGCCGCGGGGCCCGACAAGGTGTCCCCCTCCTGCCTGAAAGTCTGCGCTGAGCAGCTGGCTCCGATCTTCACACAGATCTTCAACAGATCCCTATGCAGCGTGGCATGTAGATGTGGGAGATCAGCGATCTCCACTTGCAGTTGTTATGGCCACTGTGAATGGGCACATGGTGACCGCCTTGCTCCCTCGATTGCACACACACAGACGCACAATCAGGGGTGGAAACCTTTGCAATAGTCAACTTTACATCACCCGCAAGTGGAGAGCTTGCATTTCCTTCTAAACGTATTTTGATCTCCATGTAGACTGTGCCTCACCTGTGCTGAATTTAAAGGGAATGAGGCGAGTCGCTTTGATTAGCCGGGAACCAAGTCGGTTGTGTTCACTCCCACAACTGTACAAACGCCTATTTTTCCCTGCACCCATCAATGAAAATGCCAAAAGACAGAAAACATCACCCATGTGCACAGTTAGTTCAGCAAAAAAAAAAAAAAAAGGGTCGGAAATTGTTTAATTCTTTCCATTCTATTTCATTATGTTGCAAACTGTGTATATTTATAAAGTAAAATCTAATCATTTGCTATTTTTCCTAATTAAAAACATAATTTTTGTTTGGGAGGCTGGAATGCATAAACGGCATTTCCATTCATTTCAATAGTGAAAGATTATTTGAGATACAAATATTTTGAGTTATCAGTATAATCACGAATGAATTCAACTCGTATGTCAAAGCATCACTGTGTGTAGGATTAAACCCCTTCAAAGGTCTGGGAAACCTATAAGAATGATTTTTTGGGTGGAAATATCAGACTGGTGGTGAACTCTTATGCAGCAATTCTGACCTCAGTGATTTTTTTTTTTTTTACAGTACTGGACCATAGCAACATCTGAGAGGACATAAAAAAAAAAAAAATCAAAGTAAAAGAGGATAGACACCGCCATGTGTCTCAAGGAAGACCAAGTGACATTAGTGGCATTTGAGGACAGAATCATAGAAAAAGAGAGCAGATGTTATTTTGTTACTAACAGTTTTGGGCATAGTACACTAGATGGCTTGCGTGCACATCATTGGGGTGAGGCCGGGGTGATTGAGGAATTCTGGGTAAGTCAAGTGCAGGGATGTGCCGTTGACGACGAGAGGTGATGACTGATGAGTGCCGGGGAGGAACAAGAGAAGGTGAAAGAAGACAGTCGAACGTGTGACGTGAAAGGCTTGCAGGAGAGACTTTTCCCACAGTGGGTGACCACTGAAAGTGTCATTCATTTAAAAAAGCTGATGAGTGGCTGGAGGAACAGCCCCAGAGTTCCCAGTACACACACCATCACAAACACCCACAGGAAGATCCGGTCAATGACCATGGCGACGTACTTCCAGTCATCTTCAACCTAATGACGACAAAGAAACACGTTAGAGGCAGTGAGTTATCTTGTACATACTCAAACGATAGACCAATAGAAATTTTAAAATACTAATTTTGGCTGAGGTGTACAGTTTATTACTATGAGATCTGGCCCCCGGGCCTTGACTTTGACATCTGTGTTGTAGACAGTGCAGGTTCCCTCGGCATAAAAACTGCCGCATGCTAATTTTCGTGCCAAGGCAAGTCAAGTGAAGCATTTTTTTTTAATTTGGAAGACTACGTTATGCCATTACACATCCCCGGCACACCTCACAATTTGGTGACAGAGAGTAGACTGGTCTTAAGACCAGGTTCCCTTACCCCACAAAACTATAGTGCAAACTTCAGTCTTACCATGCGCATAGGTGGCTTTCTTTCTTTTGGTATTTTGGTGGCCTTTAGAAGTGGAGATAGGACACTGCGTAAGCATGCCCGAAACCAATTGACAAAGAAAATTAACATCGCAAAGAGATGCAATGCAGAGAGGCTGAAAAAACACTTCTGCTCATGACTCTGCATCCGTGTGGAATGACCTGAAAGCAGTTACAAACTACAAAATACCATCCCCCGCAAGCAGTGGACAATAAGGGACTGGCTCACGATCTAAACATGTTTTTCTGCAGCTTCGAAAAGGACCCCTCCACTTCCCACACCTGCCCGCCCCCATCAGAAACTACCTTATTCACACCCCAGACCGAATTCCCTGCCCTGGAGATCCACGAACAGGACGTCAGACAACTCTTCAAGCAGCAGAAGATCAAGAAGGCCGCGGGGCCCGACAAGGTGTCCCCCTCCTGCCTGAAAGTCTGCGCTGAGCAGCTGGCTCCGATCTTCACACAGATCTTCAACAGATCCCTATGCAGCGTGGCATGTAGATGTGGGAGATCAGCGATCTCCACTTGCAGTTGTTATGGCCACTGTGAATGGGCACATGGTGACCGCCTTGCTCCCTCGATTGCACACACACAGACGCACAATCAGGGGTGGAAACCTTTGCAATAGTCAACTTTACATCACCCGCAAGTGGAGAGCTTGCATTTCCTTCTAAACGTATTTTGATCTCCATGTAGACTGTGCCTCACCTGTGCTGAATTTAAAGGGAATGAGGCGAGTCGCTTTGATTAGCCGGGAACCAAGTCGGTTGTGTTCACTCCCACAACTGTACAAACGCCTATTTTTCCCTGCACCCATCAATGAAAATGCCAAAAGACAGAAAACATCACCCATGTGCACAGTTAGTTTGCACTTTGCGCAAGACTTGCGCTGAGAATGAAAATAGGGCTTGTTGTGAATAAGCACACAGCAAAAAAAAAAAAAAAAAAATTGATTTGGCACATGTGGTTGATGTAGCGGGAAAGAAAAATGGGTTAAAAAAAGACTGAAATGCAAGGTAAGCACACATGCTATGTAATCATTGTCACACACGAAGATTTCTCTTAACCGAAGCCACCCCTACCAGCGGACACGACATTGTCCAACGTTCGCACTGTCCGCTCGTCACCTGACCAGTCCGCCCATAGCCGATCGAGTCTCGATGCTTTTAGTACATCTCTGCACAATTGAAGCATATCACCATGACTCACGTATAAAGTGTCGATGGTCATCTGTCGTGCAATTCACAAAGTGTTCTGGCAGCTGGAGCCGCCTTCGTCACCGAGATGCAAATGAGCACCCTTTGGCTAGCTTTTACGACGGCGACACCGCTTTGAATACAATGTCATAACGACAATAACAATGGGATGAACTGAGCTGAGCAGATGACTGACCTATTCGAGTGACCTTTCAAAATGTTCTATCTTTGCACAAACAACCAACTACCCGTGTAGTTTTCATAAAACACGATGAAAAGTCAGTCGGTGCTGCTTTCCTTTATTTCCAATGTCAGGGTTAGGATTACATAAAAAAAAAAAAAAAAATGGGTTGCCTTATTACCAAAGCATTGTTGATTAAGCCATATTGTACCACACAGCCAGGACAGCGTTTTTTTTTAAATTTCCTTTGATTGTGCTGCTCATTCTGAGTTTCTCCATTGTATGTTAGTATCAGGCGACTGACTCCTCGTTTTCAAAAAACTTGGAAATTTGCTGATTCATGGCTCATATTCATGTCTCAAGGTGTCACTGTACTTTATTGTAAATGCATGTTTTACTGCCAATGCATCTGGTCATTCAGTGGTCATTCAGTTTGTGTTTTTATATGCCATACAGCTGAAACTGAAAGTTCAGAACACAATTTCTGAGATTAATTTTTAATTTTGGAAAAAAAATCCCTATTGGAAAAAAAATGGAAATAGGATAATCTG